GAAGGGTAAACAAAGGAGGAGGCTACAATGCTTGATAAGAAATGTACTCATTATCTTGCCCATGTAATTGTAACCCCTCTGTACAGTATTTTCACAAAAAAAAATAAATAAAATTTTTTAAAAAAGAAATGTACTCATTACCTTGCTCATGTAAGTGTAACCCCTCTGTATGGTGTTTTCACAATTAAAAAACAGAGAAAGATACAAAAAAAAAAAAAGAACAGTGAAGAGAAATTGAAATAGACTTGGAGAACATTCAGTAAGGAACTAGTGCATACTGCGTGGGGTCAGCATCCCTGGTTCCCTCACCTGTGCTCCCTGCCACCATCAGGTTTAGGGCATCATTGGTACTTGGCCTATGTGTCAGCAGGCTTTCTCCAGATGCCTACTGCCCTGAGGCTGAGGTAGTGGAGTGGCAATTGTGAGAGCCACACACTGAGGTGTTCAGCAGCTATATTACCTAGGGTGTGGTCCTGAGGAATTGCTTAACATTTCCATGCAGGTCTCTTGCTAAACACAGTACGGGAATAGTAAGACTCTTACCAACATCATTATGAGTGTTTGGAACAGTCTAAAAATATCTACTACTACTACGACTACTATTTTTATTACCATTGTCAACTGAAGAGATAACAGTATGTGTGTGTATGTGTGTGTGTGTGTGTGTGTGTGTGTTGTGTGTGTGAAGAAGGGGAGAATAAGTGAAAGTTTGTGTACTAGGTGATTTTAAATGTTAATCCATTTAAGGAGGATTAGTGACCAAGACAGACAGACAAGTATGTAAACCCAGAATTTTATCAAGAAGGGGGGAACAACAGAATGGTGAGACAAAGTTCAAGGGGGAACCAATGCAACAGAGATATACACAAGACAACACGTTGGAAATGATCTGTACAACTTGGGAGGGGGGTCTAGGGGGGCAGGGAAAGTAGGAAAAAATAAGGGAAGTGTAAGAAAGATATGTACCCATTACCTTACTTATGTAACTGAAACCCCTCTGCACAGCAGCTTGACAATAAAAAAATTATAAAATAAACCAAAACCAAAACAAAGAAACAAAAAAAAACACAAACAAACTGTAGACGGATTCCCAGAGAAATTAACCATTGATTCCTCCCACCAAGTAGAGCAAGGCATGGACGGCCATGGAATGAGTGCATGTCATGACCTGGGATCTGGGAGTGGAAATTTGATGGTTAGAGACTGGTACGTGCAGGACAGGCTTGGTTTTCCAGTAAAGGCTGTAGCGTTGTGTGTGCGTGTGTGCGTGTGTGGGTCTGTGTGTGGGTGTGCGCGTGCAAATCCAAAGCACGGGGCGGGGCGGGGCGGGGCGGGGCGGGGCGGGCCTCCGGTGCCTAGTTAGCCCCGGCTTCTGGGACGTGTGGCCCGCGCTGGAACCCAATGCTGGCGGCGGTGAGAGGTGCAGGCTGCAGCAACTGGCTCTGCGATGGGGCACCTGTGGCTCCTGGAAACTTGGGGCCTCTGCTGGCTGCTTCTGTGCGCCGCGGATCTTCGCACAGGTAAGGGGGTGGGGCGTTAGGGAAACGTTGGAGAAGTCAGAATAGACCGTGACCCTGCTTGGAGGGGGGGGGGGTGTCACTGAAGAGCCCAGGCCCCCTGGCACCTGCCCTGGGCAGAGACAGACAGACAGACAGACAGACAGACACTCAAAAAAAGGCTCAGAAGAGAACGTGGGAAATTGTTTCAATTGTTATAAATTGAGCGAGGCTATTATTTAATCTGTGGAACTTCCTACCTACTTTTCAAAGTGACACAACCAAAAAGAGAGTGAAAATTGCTGAGGAGTAAGGCAGGGATGAGCAGGCACATCGGCATCCTGAAGGCTCGCTCTTTTCCCTAATTCTTTTTTTTTAATTTTATTTTATTTGTGAACATGCTGTACAGAGGAGTTACAATTACATGGGCAGGATAATGCGTACATTTCTTACCAAGC